TGTTTGTCACCCGATCCGGCGTTCGCGAACGGAAGCAAAATTTTGCGAACAGAGCTGTTCGTGACCCAAATTGGTCGTGAACAGGAGCGTTCGTGACCCGAAGTACCACTGTAATCTGTTCATTTAGGAGGATAGCATGGAGAATAGAAGCAATATTTTTGCAAATGCTACTAAGAAAACTTGGAGATTTTAATTAACAGTAAGAGCAGCTGAGTCCAGCAGTCCCACCTGCTGAACATTAGAGGCTTACCTCAATTGTTTTTGCTGCTCCATCAGTCATGGCTAGAGGGCACCCGTAGCAGCCAGAAGATGGCATAAAAAGATACAGCTTGGCAGTTTGATGAACACGGCTATGAAAAGAGGAGTACACGGAGCTATAATTTGGAATGCCTCCCCAAAACCCCTTTATCGCAGATTTAAAACACAACCAGGAAAAGGACTTCCGGGGAAACAAGGGCAAACTGAAAACAGCTTCATGGAGAGCAGAGCCAATGTCTGCAGCAGAATGAGGTGCTGATGCAGGGATCAGCTTCTCAGAATTCCTCTCTGGACAAGGAGAAAACTTTGGATCTCTCACATGCGCTCCAGACAGCAGCTCCCTGCAAGGAGTTTGTAAAACAGCAGTCTCTGGCGGGTTTAGTGCTGCAGGAGCCGAGGTAACCCTGTCTTTGCCCAAGCTGCACTTCGGCACCTTCAAAGGGGCACTGGGTTTGCATACTTCTTCTCTTAATCACTTCCAAAAATTGCTTGTTAACTGCTTTTTGGATATTAAGAACCTTCAGAATGGCAAGTGTCATTACACCAGTGAGTCTCCTTCAATTGTTGCCAAAAAAAGTTTTATGCAAGTTTAAGGACTTAACAAATTCTTATTTTGGAATAAACAGCAAAAGGGTGATTAGAAGCTTGATTTTGGAAAGTTATAAATGGACTAAGGGGCCAGGTGGATTTGAAAGAAGATTTTGAAATTAATTATAAGAATCCTTCCTGTGGGAAAATGCTGCTCATTAGGAAAAAACATGATAAGAAGACTTTGAAGGTTGGACACTAGAGACAACCAGAAAGAACTAAAGAGAAGAATTAAAAGAGAAGAGACCCACTAATACAGAATGGAGCAAAATAATCTAACTTTGGAAGAATTCAAGGGTATTTGGGAACCATGCACTCAGAAATTACTCTTAAGATTCTCTGCTATTACAAAAATGGATTTAAAAGAGGTTATAGAAGAGAACAGGTTTCACTGGACAAAATAGAAACTGAGGCTGATTTTAATGTGGACTTAAAAATGACAGGTTATAAGACTGATATGGAAAAAGATGTTATACTGGATTTACAAATGAAACCCAATGATGTCAATAATTAAAAGGGATATAGAAATAAAAAAATAGACTTGGATAACTTTCTTATTTTGGATTTACAAAAGAGAGGTGCTAAAAGTTTTGAAGGAGCTTTTGAGAAGAGACAAAGAGAAAATGAAAACGTATCAAGTTCTGGACAATATTTAAAGCAGGGGTCCTCGAACTTTTTAAACAGGGGGCCAGTTCACGGTCCCTCAGAATGTTGGGGGGCTGGACTATAGTTTGAGTAGAGGAGAGCCATCGGACCCGGGATACCTGTCATGTAGAATAGTCTGGCTCTGTGATCTCCCTCCTCGTGCATCACCTGCAGCTCCTGACACAGCCCCGACACTTCTGCTTCTGACAGACAGCAGCAGCGGCCAATCTGGCGAGCGGGCCGGATAAATGACCCTGGTGGGCTGAATCCAGCCCACGGGCCGTACTTTGAGAATCCCCGATTTAAAGGGTCTAAAAACTAAGATTCTTAAAAGCAAAGGGAAGGAATATAAAGTGGGATTATCTGATCAAGGTTACAATATATATGTGATTGTTTCTACTAACTCTTAATGGATTTTTCCTGACCAGGACCGAATGACGAGGCTTTCACGATTTCTTTATAGAGAAGAGATGACATATGGGAAGAAAAGATCTTGTGTTGTATTTTCAACAGAAAGTGATAAGTTATTATGTTAAAAGGAAAGGAAATGAATATAAAGCTGGGTTATTTGATTAATATATACAGTGGGGCAAAAAAGTATTTAGTCAGCCATCAGTTGTGCAAGTTCTCCCACTTAAAAAGATGAGAGAGGCCTGTAATTTTCATCATAGGTATACCTCAACTATGAGAGACAAAATGGGGAAAAAAATCCAGAAAATCACATTGTCTGATTTTTAAAGAATTTATTTGCAAATCATGGTGGAAAATAAGTATTTTGTCAATATCAAAACCCACTTAAAAAGATGAGAGAGGCCTGTAATTTTCATCATAGGTATACCTCAACTATGAGAGACAAAATGGGGAAAAAAATCCAGAAAATCACATTGTCTGATTTTTAAAGAATTTATTTGCAAATCATGGTGGAAAATAAGTATTTTGTCAATATCAAAACCCACTTAAAAAGATGAGAGAGGCCTGTAATTTTCATCATAGGTATACCTCAACTATGAGAGACAAAATGGGGAAAAAAATCCAGAAAATCACATTGTCTGATTTTTAAAGAATTTATTTGCAAATCATGGTGGAAAATAAGTATTTTGTCAATATCAAAACCCACTTAAAAAGATGAGAGAGGCCTGTAATTTTCATCATAGGTATACCTCAACTATGAGAGACAAAATGGGGAAAAAAATCCAGAAAATCACATTGTCTGATTTTTAAAGAATTTATTTGCAAATCATGGTGGAAAATAAGTATTTTGTCAATATCAAAACCCACTTAAAAAGATGAGAGAGGCCTGTAATTTTCATCATAGGTATACCTCAACTATGAGAGACAAAATGGGGAAAAAAATCCAGAAAATCACATTGTCTGATTTTTAAAGAATTTATTTGCAAATCATGGTGGAAAATAAGTATTTTGTCAATATCAAAACCCACTTAAAAAGATGAGAGAGGCCTGTAATTTTCATCATAGGTATACCTCAACTATGAGAGACAAAATGGGGAAAAAAATCCAGAAAATCACATTGTCTGATTTTTAAAGAATTTATTTGCAAATCATGGTGGAAAATAAGTATTTTGTCAATATCAAAAGGGGAGAACTTGCACAATTGGTGGCTGACTAAATACTTTTTTGCCCCATTGTATATGTTATTTCTGGTACTTCTCAATGGATTTTGCTGATTAGGATTGAATGAAGAGGGTTTAAAAATTTGTTTATAGATGAGATATGGGAAGAGATCTTTTGTGGTAGTAGCAGAGAAGGTGATAAGTTACTGAGGTTGTGATGAAGGGGGAAGTCATGTCTTTATATATCTTTTTTCTTTCTTTCAACTATATTTTCAATTTTTTTTCATTTTATATGCACTTATTTTTTATATTTTTCTTAGTTTCTACTACTTTTTTATCTCTATCTTTAAATGTAATAAAAAAATCATTTTTAAATAAAAGGAAGGCTATAGCAAAAATAGTACTTGAGTACAATGCACTCAATGGCTGAAGAATATAAATTAGACTTTGCAAACAACTATCTAATATAATTAGAGATGATAGAAGTTCGGCAGCATATACATTTAATACATTATTATTCTTATTATTAAAAAATAGACCACCAGGAAAAATGAGCCATGCTAGGATTTTGGAACATACAGGAGATACCCAAATAAGTTCATATGGCTTTGCATGACTCCAGTAAACCATGAAGTACCTCCAACTGGAATATCTCCTTTTATACCCTTCGGCCACAAGGCTCTCCTCAGCAGAGATGTCCTTCATCCTCTTCCAGGCTGGGCAGGTGATTATTTGGTCCACACGCTGCCCCCAGGCATCAAACTGCTGTAATCTAGGGGGGTTTAGTTCACACTCACGGCCCAGGAAGTCAATTTCATCTCTCATACGAGCTCCAAACCGTTCCAGGTCAACGTTCACCTCAGCAAACACCTATGAGGTGGATGCAGAAATATGCAACATGAAGAGATGGTAGGACAGGAACCAGAAGATAATTCTGAGAGGAACAAAGGAAGCTAAGTTGAGGGGCTACTGATTTCTTTCTTATTTGGCCTGT